CCCTGAGCAGGTTCACCTGTGTGTGGCGAGCTGAGTCCACAGTAATGAGGCCTGTCTTTCAGGTCTGAATGTGACCCCATGCCTCAAACCTCCAGCGCTGCCACCAGCACCGTTCTTTCCCACATCTCCCAACATAGCCTTGAAAACAACAGGAGAAACTCTCATCGAACATCCCTCAAAAGGACCCTGCTCTTAAATTCTCTCCCCTGCTGGACTCTCAAGGGTATATCAAGAGTATTTACACACAGATCTCTAAGACCTCAGGGTTTAGATTTCAGCCTAGGCCACACACTTATACCCTGAGTGTATATTTATCTGACCTCTGTGGACCAGGAAAAGCACTCAGGCTTACAAGGTGGAACCACAGAGGAAATCCCGTATGTGACCCCCTTTCACTTATGAATAACCAAGACCAGAATTCACTTAAAGCCATTCATGGTCACCTGTGTATCTTACTGAATAAGCAATATCCTTACTGGATGAGACAAATGTAAATGTGCACACAAACATTGGTGCTCTCCATGGATTTCCTGGATAATCTGCATCGGAACAACCTGGAAAATTGTAAGAAAAGCCTATCTTTTGGCTGCAGACCACAACCACTGAATCAGAAACATGAAGGATGGGCCCAGCAATCAAGGTTTGAAAAGCCCTCCCAGTGATTCAGCTGCATGACAAATTTAACAACATCTGTACCCTGGAAAGTATAGCTTATCCCTGAGTTAATTAATAGATAAGAAATTCTAGGAATAAACCACATGCATTTGGTAATGCTAGAGATGTAACTGATAACTTTAAAAATGTATAAATAAAAATAAATCTGACTAAAATGGACTCTTGATTGCCTTCTTCCTTTTTTCTATTTTACTGCCTTCCTTGTGCTTTCTGGAATCACCTGCCAAATAAACCAGTTGTACTCACGTCTTGTAACACACATTCAAATTTAAAATAAATTATAATTTATTTAATAGTTCATTAAATAAGATATGAAAATCATATGGCAAAAGATTATTGCAT